ATTTATGCATACAGATTAACCATATACACAATTTTGATATTGATCAACCAAATAGAATGTGAAACATTCAAAAGCAAGTGTGTATAATATACAGCATTACAGAAACAAAAGTGTTGAAGTTATCAATGTTGTTGATTTACAACATTCCCCACCACTATTAAGTTGAATGATCTGCCCTTATATTCACAAAGTCATAATAGTGTTAATTTGTTGATCATGAACTTCAACAAATTGTCCCAATTAACCTGATTAAATTAGTTAAATGCTACAAATCACGACTGCAGATCATTCAATATTTTGCTGAATGGTTTAGCCCTAATTAATACCAGCATTGTCCCTTTAATTTAGTAAAAAAAAAATCAAACGATTCTAATAGATATTTGTTTTTAAATACATTGAAACAGTTGAACATTGAAATAATGAACAAAAAGTTAAAGTGTACCCTCCATTGATAATATCGTACTTACAAAAACGTGACATAATAAAACAAGTAATTGCAATACATAGTCCCTATTAGTTATCAAGTTTAAGAAATATAGTTTTGTTTATCGTAATACAGTTTAGACATGAATGGTTGAAACATTTCAAATATATGGATTCAGAACTGCAATTGTTAAATACATGGGCAATGGTATGAACTATACTATACTATACTAAATCAATAAAATGGAACATGTAACAAACATTGCTTCTCCTTCTCGTGCTTATCAGGAAAAGAAGGCGACTCTGTCATGCCTTCAACAGCACGAAAACAGAGGTTTTGCCATTCGAGCCCGTCACAAATATCTGAATGAGTCTGACGCCCCCAGTTCATATTTTTTTTCAAATTTGAGAAACTAAATAGACACAAAAAAGCAATAGCTCATATTCAGCGTGAAAATGACCATCTAACTGATGACACTTGTGAGATACTTAATATCACTCACAAATTTTATGCATTGCTTTACACACACTAATGAAAATGCACAAAATACTATTCTTGAAGGGTTGCAAAATCTCAGTGAAGCAGATCGTGAACATCTTGATGAACCCATTTCTTTTGAAGAAATAACGAAAACAGAAAGTTCTTGCCAGTGGGTGCTCCCGCTATTGATGGTTTACCATACGATTTTTTTCAAAAAGTCTGGAATATCATTGGTAGAGACCTCTGTGAAGTTTTTGTTTGTTCTATTCGGGATGGTTTTCTCCCACTTTCTTGCATGAGGGCCGTTGTGACTTTACCACACCACACTTATTTGTTTTGATGATTGTTCAGCAAAAAATGGCCGTCATTCGGCCATCTTTAATCAGATCGTGAAACAAATTGATGTGCATATGTATTATAATATTTATAATGTATGTGTGAAGTTTGATTGTGATTGGTCCAGCCATGTCTAAGATACAAGTCCGGACGCACACACGGACACAAGGACGCACAAGGGTCAAAACATAAGTCCCCGTTTTCGAACTGCGTCCGAACGGGGACTAACAAGCAGCCTCTCGACTGAGATAGCTCCGCTGTTAGCAATGACATTTCAAATAAAGAACTGCAGATATCATTAGAAAATGAACAAATTTGAGAGAGGTCAACCTGAGGTACTTATATGTATAGTATCAAAGCAATCAGACTTGCGTTGTTTAACAAGAGTGTCAAAAATATCACTTTTTACCAAAAATGACAAAAATATTAATCAAAATTAGAGAATTGAAGATGACGTCACAGAATCAACAAATCTGACAGAGGTCCACCTGATGTACCTACATATACAATATCAAAGCAATCAGACTAGCAGTTTTTAATAAAAAGTAAAAAATATCACTTTTTACCAAAAATGACAAAAATATTCATCAAAATTAAAGATTTGAAGATATCATTACGAAATGAACAAATCTGAGGGAGGTCTACCCAAGGAACATATACAACAAGTATCAAAGCAATAAGAAGCTGAAAAAGTAACAAGTTGACACAAATGACAGACAACAGCGGACAATCACTCATATGATAAGCTCCGCTCGACGAAGTCGACAGCAGAGCTAATTAACAAACGAATCATACCATAATTGAACTTGGCTAAGATTGCATATTTATTAATATGATAACCAAGTTTGAAGATAATTGGATAAGAATTGTTTGTTAACAAGTTATTATAACTACAAGAAACAGAGTTTACAACAGGGACGATGACAATAAAACAGCATTTTTCACTCAATGGCATACACCTCTATCCCTTCATTAACATTATGGGCAAGCTAAAAATAGGTGAAAATTCACCAAGCTGATAACCCTATAAATTATTTATTTATTATAAGAGTATCACTGCGATAAGTTTGAAAAAACAATTATTCACCTTTGAATTCTTTTCACCAGTCCCACATCAGAAGCAGTGGGACGATGGATCAAAGGTCAATATTCTACAATGCATAGTGCATTTGGCATGAATCCAAGAGTTGAAGAGTGTGGGTGACTGGCTGTATATATAATACTCCCTAGGCTGATAATGATTTGAAAAGCATTACACCGAGCTTGCATCCAGCCATTATAGGTACCAATAAAAAACAAATACATCGTGTGAATTTTCACTTTCCTAGGGAGTTAAGTACAATATTTTTATCAGAAACTTCCGCCATATTTATACAGCTATGGCCGCATCCAAAAAGTCTTTCTTGAACGAAATTGGTGAGGATTTCCTCAGCTGTTCCATCTGTTTGGAGTTCTTCAAGAATCCTAAAGTCCTACCATGTCTTCATACATTCTGTGAGCAATGCCTGGTGACTTTTAAAGCCAAATCTGAAGGTATTTTGAAGTGTGCAACATGTAGAATTCAGTGTGACACATCTATTCAGGAACTAAAATCCAACTTCTTTTTAACAAGCCTACTTGACACGTTCCAGAGACAGAGGCAGCTGAGTACAGACCATCCACCAATGTGTGAGATATGCAAAGAGAAGACAGCAACTCACAGGTGTGTAGACTGTAGCTGTGATGTCTGTGTTAAAATGCATGAACACATTCCACCTCTTCGAGGTCACCAAGTACTAAAAATTGACAAGTACAGAGAGATAGAATCTAAGGGTCATCTCGAATTGCAGACTGAGGTTTTCTGCAGTGATCATAAAGACAGCAAGCTGAAATTCTACTGTGATACTTGCCAGGTACCAGTGTGCAGTGATTGTACCATAGTTA